TTTAGTTTGTAACTGAGTTTTTTTGTCAACTTTTCCATGAATAAATGTTTTTATATACAGGGTGTTTCGAAATTCGACCGACAACGCTTGACAGGTGATAGCCCTCGTGATTTCATAATCACTGAGATAGGGACAGACGGTCTTGAAGTGTTCAGTTCTCGAGATACAGGGCGTTGAAGTTAAGAAATTTAAATAGTTTTTTCGCAATATCTCAAGAATAATTTAATATAATGCATTCAAATTCGGTATATGGTTTCATCTTTCACTGATTAATTTCTTGACCAGAAAGACATTCCGAGAATTTTATCCAGAGATGCGCTACAGAGGGTTGTGATAACTTTTCCTCCCATATTTTCTACGCCACTGATGAAATTTCAATTATTTCCAATTTCTCGAATTGTTTGTTCAGTTATGTTGAAAAAATGCATCACCTTCAACTGAGCTAAAATGAACAGTTATCGGGATATTTGACCCAAAATAAAAGTATGCATAGTAATTTTTCATCTTCCTCGGTAGTAAAAAATTACGAAAATTTTTGTTTTCTCTTCATGTGTGGAATAACTATTTCTGTTCAGCTATGGAATGAGATCTGAATAGTATCTAATCTACTCAACACCAGAAAAATATTTTTGCAATTTTCTACTACTGAAAATGATGAAATATTACTATGCAATCTTCTATTTTGGGTCGAATATCTCGAAAACTGTTTATTTCAGCTCAGTTGAAGGTGATGCATTTTCTGAACAAAATTGAACAATGAATTCGAGGAATTGGAAATAATCGAAATTCAATCAGTGGCGTAGAAAATATGGAAGGAAAAAATGCCACAACCCCCTGTAGGGCACCACTGGACAAAATGTCCGGAATGGCTTCCAGGTCAAAAAATGGCCCATTCAAAGATGAAAGCATATACCGAAGTTGAATGCATTATATTCAATTATTCTTGAGATATTGCGAAACAACTATTTTCATTTCTCAACTTCAACGCCCTGTATCTCGAGAACTGAACACTTGAAGACCGAATGTTCCTATCTCAATGATTATGAAATCACGAGGGCTATCACCTGTCAAACGTTGTCGGTCGAATTTCGAAACACCCTGTATATACTATACGCAATACGCTTTATGCTTTATTAGTTTTTTATTTCGTTAGTTCGGTCAGAAGTCAAACGGGTAGGCGATCACACTTGTAATCAAGAGGTCGTGGGTTCGATTATTGAGCTTGGCGCTTCTTAGATTTGGGTTAAATTATGCTCAGTGCATGCGGTATATCATATGGAAAGAAGCCTAAAAGTCACAGTGGTTTGATTTCCACTTCTTCAAACTGGAGATCCCGTCGCAGAAGCCTCTCAAGGGCTTCTGAGGGTTACTTTAGTAGATTATGTAAAATGAGTAGAATAAAATAAATGAGTTATCTTATGATGTTGACCACCCCCCAAATGATTGGGCTGCCACCGCGCCTGGCTCTGTGCTAGTGCGCTCTGTAAATCAGCAAGTGGAAATAGTCCACTCGCTTATTGAGGGACATCCTGTACATACAGATATAACATGGTCGGTTTTCGGACTGAAAGTGGGCATCAGGATAAGACCGAGCCACCGAGCCATCAGTCCGATACGCCTGTGAGATGAATAGAGGGAGCCGTTCGCCGCTCGCAGAATAGATATCGAATTACCCCATTATTCTGGCTCGGAGCCACCCTTACCTGCAGCCAGAAAGCAGCAAGCAGCAGCTTCTCTCTCCCGTCCCATCGCTGATGCCCGTCCCTCGCACTTCGATTGTTTCGACGTTATTCGACTGTTCGTCATGGAAAGAGAACGTAATTATATAAATATACAGGGTGATCTAATATACACTCCCCGACTATAAATTCCGGACTGTGAAATTTTTAGCAATATTGTTCGCCCTGTAACTTTCGTAATCCTCTTCCGATTTCGATTAAATTTCGACCAAAGCGTAGAATTATATTTCGCAAAATTAGCCTGATATTTCGTTCCGAAAAACATCTTTTGTCCTAATCATTATACAGGGAAAAACAAAAGTAACTGTTTTACCCTCAACTTCTTAACGCCCTGTGGCAAAAGTGAGCAATTAAAATCAGTTTCATTATGTTTAGTATTGAAGTGTGATTCCTTCTTATCAAAACGGTTCATAAATCACATGCTGCGTGTGCTGTTGAGGTTTTCAAAATTCAACGACGGGCAAGTAGAGTTGTTGCAGGTTTACCCTATCGTGATGACTGTAAGTAGGCAAGCATTTAGAGATCTAGACATTTTGACATTCCCATGTGTTTTCATTTTTGAATGTCGTTAAAAAAAACCTTCAACACAAGAGACGAGGATAATCATGACCATGCATGATACAAGAAAACTTGAAAACCAAATTCTGTACATAGACTATAGAAACGTGTCAAGATGGCCCTAGGTGCCTTGCTGTACGTTTCTTTGATGTTTTACCTAGTTCAAAGTTCATAGGAAATCTCAAGAAAATTTTAATGAAAAAAGCATTTCATTCGTTTGATGAGTTTTTAACTATCATTTTGTGTCCTTATAATTCACTAGTTTGATGTTAAATGTGTAGTTTTCAAGACATTTTGAATGAAATTATTGTTTTTCAATGGAGAAGTCACTCTCCCTCTATGTATACGACATTTGACCTGTGTTAATACATTTATTGTATAATACCACCAATAAACGATTGATTGATTAATTGATTGATATGTAAGAGTCCAGTATAGGCCAAAATTTTATAGAAAGTCGAAATTTATAAGGAAATCCTATACCTAAATCGTTTTCAATACTCAAATGTTATTCTCAAGTTGATGATTCAAGATTCAGAATTATGATCACCCTGTATCTGTTCCTGTTGAATGTAGGTAGAAATCAAAAGGTAGGGCAAGGACAAGTGAGCCGTTCTGACCGATATCGAACAGTTTCGAAAAAAAAAAAAATTGAGAAACCTCGATTTTGAGCACCCTACATCTCTAATCATTTCTGCTAAACCCTGTGGTGATGCATTGATGATATCAATTCTACAGAGAGAATAAAAAAATGCAATGAAATACAGGGTGTTCCCAACGAAAGTTGCTACTACTTTCTGGTATAAGCGGCAACGCTGCAATGTCGAAAATATGTTAGACCGATAGGTACGTTTTTTTTTGTTTTTTTATCGATTGGAGCGCACGAAAGGGAATCCCTATGATAATGTTTAATGTTCCATCCACCGTGAAACACCTTGTACATAATAGTAGCTGCTTATTCAATTTCCCTCAAAACAAGAATGTTTTGGCACAAGAAAATAAGGATCTGAGAAAATATTCACTTATGAGCCCAATGAGACATAATAGGTCTCCTTAAATGTCAGTATAGAGAGTGAATCGAAAGTCACGATAGGGACATGTAAGCCGTTTGGACCGATGATGAATAGTTTCGACACAAAAAATCCTAAAGTTAAAAAATCTCGATTTTGAACACCCCATCTCTGTAATCATTACTGCTAGACGTGTGATATACTTTGATGAAATCAGGTCTTCAGATAAAATCCAAAATACAATGAAATACAGGGTGTTTCATTTAAAATATCAAGTTGCTATTGCTATACTACTTTCTAATAGAAGTGGCAACACCGAATTGTCGAAAATAATTTAGATTGGTAGATAATGTTATATGCTCTCCATCAGGCATCAAGTTTCGAAATGATCCAATGTCTGGTTCACCAGAAACGTGTTATGCGTGCCATCCACCGTGAATCATCCTGTATATTTCACATTGAATCAAGAAACCTCTTTCATCTGTGTACCCAGATGCGAAAGCTTTGATGCCACAATTGATGTTCCATAGCTAAAAATTTTTGTTACCTTGAATAACACCACAATATAAGAGCACACGGAGAAAAATGTATCGTTGATTGTACGCATATCCTCTGACCTACACTGAAAAAACACTCACGTACTATTCGCAGAAATTAATGGTATAGGTATTAGGTGATAATATTTCTGTGGCATATTATTCATAATGAGAAATATTTTCAGTCATTGGCCAATTTGGCTTCAAATATCATTATTGACGATCAGTATCTAATTGAGTTCATAGTAATCAAACTAAAGAAAAATGATATTTCTGATCATTTACATTTGGCCGGAAAGTGGAATGGTTGAAGCAGAGATTAACTCATCCGCTTATCTATATATCTATGTAAGAGTTATTCCCAGTGGAGGCGCCGTACAGTGCAAATACAAATTTTGTTCTAGCGGAAAGCCTATGTAGCTGTTGCATTTGTATAGTTGGGTAATCTACGGGTAAGTATGCCAAAAAGGGCGTATCCATGGAGGCGTATCAGTCTAAACGGCATCATAAATAATATATTTAATAAGATGCTATATGAGCCCTCTCAAGAGGATTGACGTTTTAAGCGGCCTCAAATTCGATCTCTGACACACTTGCATTTCTTATGCTATATTTCTGAGTGAAAATACTCAAAACCAATATATAAAAAGGAATGGAAAAACACCTGAGCAATAGATGGCACTGATGGACAATAATGATGGACTCCAAATAAATTTTTTTTTTTCAAAACGTTTATTTCTTCTCTAAGCAAACAAATGAAATAAAGATCATTCAGCTCAACTCCTGAGTCCTCAATAATATTATGTCAACGTCTACCCTCACAAAAAACTAGCAGGAACATCTCCGCCAATCGATAGATCTTGGTGCATGGCGGTATACAATCATCGCGTCTCGCAGATATTCTCCCAATTCGATACGACTCAAATTAATAAGACAAAGACAAAGATGCTCCCCTACAACCCACCGCTCTCCTTCTCGCCCGCACAACCACGCACCCGTCCGATAACTCAACAGACAGCATTACCCGTCCCAGTCGCTCATTGGCCCCGAAACGCGGATCCTCCTCAGACGCGCGACCTCATTGGCCCGCCTCAGGGCGGGGGGAGGGCCAAGACCTACCCCCCTCTCACTCGCCGGATCTCTTCTTCTTGTCATCGGTCAGTCGCTCACGAACCTCCGTAGAGCACGGAACACGAGAGAGGGCGGCATTTCGGGTGGTTTTGTTCGAAATCTGTGTTCTGTGACGGTCAAACAACACGACGATGTAGTGCGGTGGTGGTGCCACACGAGAGGACCCGAAGGTACTTGGTCGGTACCAAGAAAATGGTGACTTTAATGCCTTGCAACTATCTGAACGCACAAACTTCGAGGTGCACAATGATCGACAAAATGTGCGAGCCAAAGGTTAGAACGCTTAGAACCGATACGTTTCGTTTTTGTTGTTCCGTGCCGAAAAAACAAATGACTGTTGCCGCAGGTGGGCGGTATAATGTTCAAATTCTTTAACAGCAATCTTGAGAATCTTGATGCTATCGCATTGTTTTAGTCCTCCGAATGAAGGAGTTTCTTTAAAATATCTCCTTTGTTTGAGTTTATGACAACTGTGTGGCTGGAGACTGACACCGCCATATTGAAATTGATCTAGATCCATACTCTAGATATTAGATAGTATTCATTCATCTTATCTTACTCTATAATCTAGAATCTAGATTTGATGAATGAATGAGGTTTCTCATTCGCTGTTATTTTAGTGCTAAAGACCTGTTAAGCTATTCGGAGTCTATTAAAGATAAATGGAATATTTCAGTGTGGGTATCCATCATTGATTGAAACCTGACACCACAACGTTCTCTTTCCTTGTCTCTCTCGATAATTCCATCTGAAAGCAGGCATACACATGGTGGTCGTTAGTAAAATTTATTACGGGGAAACGCAAAATTGAGTTTTTTTCTCCGTAAGAGAGCCACATTCCTTGTTCCCATAAAAAATGATTGAGTCGAATGAGAAATGAGTTGTTTTTCAGTTAATTTTAGTAGTCGACTTTCATTTATTAATTTAGACGTTCAAGAATATTTCTCAGATGATTCCTAAAACCAATTCAAACTATATACATTTTTCATTAATTTGTTTATCATGTTAAATTAGTCTTCCTTCATGACCAAATTCTTTTTACCAGTGTAGTTTTTGAACACTTATGTGAAAGTACCTACCATACTCAATGTTTGCATGATTCGATGCTACTAAAACAAAAATAAATTCCGAATTTTGATCAATCAGACGAATATATGGTTTCTAATGAGTGCCCTGAACTGATTCAATGATGTACAATGTATATCTACACGTTGCTGCAATATTTTTTAAAATTATCACTCATTCTACTTATTGGCGAGTTCAATCCCAAATTGGTATGACAAAAATTCACATTCAAAAATATTTTAAGTCTTGTGGGTCTAGACGGTACATGGAATGATATGAGAGATAACAACATAGAGGAACTAGAATGATTCCTCATTATTTTATAGATGAATAATAAATCAGACATAATTCTACGTTGTTCCAAGGTTATAAGTCCAAAAGAGCGTCTGGTTTGGTTAATACTCTCTACAACAAATGAATTGTTCACTCTAAAATTATTTTGAACTCTCTCCAATTGGACTTTGTATGGTTGGTATAATAAGGACTCCAAATGACGCAAAACATAATCGGCTATATACGTAGGCATAATATAATGTTTTGATTGAATTTTGAGACCGAAAATATTTACAAGTTCTTTTAATAAAACCTAACATTCTATTGCATTTGTTAGTAACATTATCAATATGCATTGAAAAACTCAATTTGGAATCGAAAATAACTCCAAGGTCCTTAATATAAGATACCTTTTCCAAATGGGTACCATTCAGATTATAATCAAATGCAATAGGGTTCCTAGCAAAGATTATACTGCAACATTTCCTTGAGTTCAAAAATAATCTATTCTTTTTACAATACACGCATCTAACCTATCGAGATCGTTATGGAGTTTCATACAATCGTCCAACGACATAACTCTTGTGAAAAGTTTCAGGTCATCAGCATACAACAAAAATTTAGAATCATGGAAGCATTGATCGATGTCATTAATGAAAATAATGAATAATAAAGGTCCAAGATTTGACCCTTGGGGCACCCCGAGGTAACTATAATTGGGTAAGAGTTAAATCCATTGATACTAATGATCTGAGACCATCGTAATATATCACCATGCATACCAATTTCAGCAAGTTTCATCAACAAAATATTATGATCAATCTTGTCAAATGCATTGCTGAAATGTGTAAAGAACGAATTGTTGAACATAGGTATTCAGGCAGCGCGATGAAGTTTTAAAATTGCCCAAACTTATGTCGAGATAATATTATGTTCGTGCGAGAGAGACCGTTTCGAGACGAGATCTCTATCTCTATATAATAACGTATATTAATGTCCTGTCAAAAGAGGACTATTACAAAATGCCTTCTTCACACACAAGATGCATTTATCTCAACAGTTTTGTACGATAGATACGCGCGAGGAAATGATGCCTTTCAGCTTTGAATGACAATTCACTTATACAGGGTGATATCCTAAGATTATTTTGCAATATATTCAATTTTTACTAGGTAGGTAGGAAGGTATGTCTCTTGAAATCGGACTCCCATGTTAGGTTTTTGTTTTTGAAGATAGGAAACAATGGTATGAATTTATGAATATACAGTGTGTCCCACTTACCATGCTCACCATGGGTATCTTTTTAACGGTGAGAGATACGAGGTCGGTTAAATGACACCAAATGTGGGGGTTGTCAAGGCCAACTATAATGTGAAAAAATATTTTGATAAAATCTATTCGTTTTTGTTTTACACGCAAAAAACCGAAACAAAAAATTATTTGGAAACCGCCATCTTGAATTTATAAATTTTAACAAAAAAATCATGATCTCCGACCTCAAAAACACCCACTCACCAATTTTGAATGGAATCGAACCAAATCTTGTCCGCCATCTTGGGGCAGCCATTTTTTTTAATTTCAACAAATGTTGCAAGTGAATTTTGACTCACTTCTGGCCGTCCTATCAACTTTAAATTTGGCAGATATTCGTAAATCCGGTGACAATACATTATGGAATTTTTGTTGAAATTAAAAAAAAATTGCTGCTTCAAGATGGCGGACAAGATTTGGTTCGATTCCATTCAAAATTGGTGAGTGGGGGTTTTTGAGGCCGGAGATCATGATTTTTTTGTTAAAATCTATGAATTCAAGATGGCGGCTTCCAAATAATTTTTTGTTTTGTATAAATGACGATAACTCCGTTTTTATCAATACAAAACTATTACTGCGACACATCATCTGTAAGAGAAAAGAAAGTTATTTGTACCTAAGTCATAGTGAGCTATGACCTACATTTGAAAAACTGAAGTTGGTGCTGATATCTCAAATTCTAGAAGAGTTGGTATAAATTTCATATCTTTTTCGAAATGACTTTGAAAAACTGCCATGAGAATGTGAAATTCCTATTTTAATATTTTCATAAATAAAGAAGTTACGGAGGAGACATGAAAATGATCAAAATCTGTTTTTTGTGTATAAAACAAAAACGAATAGATTTTATCAAAATATTTTTTCACATTATAGTTGGCCTTGACAAACTCCACATTTGGTGTCATTTAACCGACCTCGTATCTCTCACCGTTAAATAGATACCCATGGTGAGCATGGTAAGTGGGACACACTGTATACATATGCACTTATTATTTTAATAGAAAAACAAGAGTTGATGTTCTTTTTTGAAAGATGAAATACCCTGTTCAAAATCGAAAAATCATAAAAAACAAGAAAGTAAAAAAGTTGATGGAAAGTTCAATTTCAGAAGACGCACCAAAAAGAATAAAAGATAGTTTACTAGTTCAAAATGTTGCACGTTTTGTCTTGTCTTGGCATCGTCCATCTGTGACTGAATTTGTTTTTTTTTTGTGTAGGTCAAGCGATCAAGGGCAGATGGCGAATTACCAGAAAAAGAGAGGTAAGAAAACACCGGAAAATACCAGATCTCACAGTCCAGAAAAATGAATCCCTGTCCCTGTGAGGATATTATTGGTCAAATACCTACCAAGATTAGGTCCTCTCCAGATAGATAGGACTGTAGAGATAAGATCAGATAATATGTTAATGCAACATACCTACTTCTTTGTGAGTAAAACTAACAAAACGCTGTATTCCACGTTTGTGTTTAATCTCATGGCCTAAATGGATGTTTTCGAAAAATACACACGATAAAACCTATACCGGGTGTTCTCAGATAGACACATATCTCACCATTATAACTTTATCATTTTTGGAGATATAAAAATGCAAATTCGATAGTATATTCCTACCTTGAGCCTCATCGGAACAACCTGTATAAATTAGTGATATCTGCAAGTCTACAGAATTTGATTCCGATACGGACATTCATCTATTTTATTTCATTGATTGAAACATCAGCATATCAAGAAGCACTCTTTTCGCAAAAATCGTTTTTTCCCAATTTTGATTAACAGGAAAGATTCAATCATATCGTGTGATACATCATATTGTAATCAGAAAAAAAGACTTCATAAATGCAAAAATTCAATATATCGCCCATAAGAAAAAACAAAGATGTGTTGTAACTTTTGCATCTCGTTTTGCATCAAAAACGTAATGGAAAATACATTGACAGATTCCGATTCCTTGTAAAAAAGTGGCTCAAGAATATCCAAATCAGAAACGTCAAGGTCTTTTATTGGTTTCCGCTTGAAAAAATAAAAACGAAAATTATAAATTTTCGATTTCTTCCAATAATTCAAAAACTAAAGATGACCACATCATTTCTTGCAGATAAATCCAGCATGAAAATACGCTATACTATGCCCTAATTTAACCGACTTCGTATCTCTTATTAATCATATTATAATTGAAACCCTGTAAACGGATATTTAAGTAAGTAAGTGAGTAGTTATTCATATCTTCATCATACAGGAGTTTCTGAACTTATTTCATATTGTTTGGTACAACCAAAATACAATGAAAATAAAAGACCAGGACATATCATCATCACCTAAGCCCCAATGGACTTGTATTGTGAGTATCTGATATTTCCTGACTTTAAATAATGTTCTTCTTGGTTTGTATATCATTCTGTGCTGATTGATTTTCTTCTGATTGAACTTTGGGAAGATGAGTGAGAAAGAAACATACTGAAACTGGAGGTGGAAAAACTTTTAACATAAGGTAAGTATTCATAGTTTTCAGCTGAGTCGGAATTAAATTATACAGTTTGGGTCCATAGAAGTAAATATTTTTTTGAGAATGACTTTTCCTCATGAAAGGTACTTTAACTGATGAGTTTTCTGTGAATCTGGTAAAACGTTCATGATTAATAGGGAAGTATTTTTTTCCTTTGAACATCCAGATTAAACATTGATAGGCATAGATATTCCTAATCTTGAAGAGATTAAGTTCTTGAAATAGAGCTTGAGTAGAGTAGCTTCTTGATTTTATTGAACATAATTTTCAAAATTGAGCTCTGAGCAAATTGGACAGTTTTCAATTGGTCATGGTTATGTATTTATATGGCATTTTTCTATATTCTGTGGTAGACTTCAGGGTTTGAACTCGACATAGTTTTGTCACTCTGTATATTTTGTAGGTGATCAATTCCGCGTTTTCTTCACAATACTTCCCCTAACTGAGTTGTATGCAACGAATTACACATCTAATTTCCTAATACGTCTATCAAAAAAGCATTTCAGCACGCCTTAAAACCACAACCATTCAACCACAACCATAACCACCATCATGCTCTTTTGAAAAACCGCAATCGCTTCAAATTCTCATCATTTCCAAATACTCATACACTTTTTGACGTTTCGGCCCTGGTCCTTGCCTCCGCACAAAAGATTAGGGCCTCTTGTTTTCCACATCATCGAACATTCGAAATAATCACAAGAGATTACCACCGAATCTGATTGGCCCGTCTTCCAGATTATAAACAAGATAAGTATATTTTTCTACTTACCTGATGGTGTGTCGGTGCTGGCTTCATTCTTATCGCTCGAGCAGACAAATCATTTGCCTGGAATTAATGCTACAGGGTGGTCCGAACATCTGAAAATCGAAAAAAGAACAATTTCATGCGACGCCTGACCTCTTCTCCACAACCTCCTAAATATCTACTAACGAAGCTAGCAGCCACACACGAATTTCAACATAATATACTCAACACATAATTTTTGGGTAATTTTTTACCACATTCCCAAATTTCTTGTCCCTTTCTATCATGGAAAAATCTGTGGGTATTTTTGAATATTAATATTTTGTCATAATTTGATGAAGTGGCAATGAGGGGGCTTATTTTACCTTGTTCTATTTTTGTTATTCATCTCCTGCATGGCAAACGCTATGGCTCAGCTATGCTTCGTAAAAACTCAGTAGAGCCATTTTTCAGATTAATAGTATATTGTTTAACGAGCACGGAATGATAGTGATTTCCTACAAGAATGAAGTTTGCAGCATGAGCCATAGGCGATATTTAAAACACCCTGTATTTTATCGCATTCTTAGATTACTTATGGTCTATCGAAAATGGGTGTATAGGGTGTATAGGGTGTTCAAAATCGATATTATCGATCAAAATGGCTCACATTTCCCTATCTCAACATTTGATTCACTATTTACAGATATATTTAATCGGAACAGATACAGGGTGGTTCAAAAATCAGATTCAGATCACATTGTATCTGTTCCGATTAAATATCAGTAAATAGTGAATCAGAAGTTGAGAAAGGGACATGTCAGCGATAATGAATTGTTTCCACACAAACAAACCCTAATGTTATAAAATGTCGATTTTGAACACTCTATATCTCTGTAATCATTCTCCATAGACCCCACGTCTGATATATCGATAAAAGCAGCTCTTCAGGGAAAATCTAAAAATGCAATGAAATACAGGGTATTCTATTTGAAATAACAAAGTTGTTGCTACTTTTTGATAGAAGCGGCAACTCTGCATTGCTGAAAATATTTTAAATAAAGAGAGCGTATTCTGAAATATAAACATGCATATATACAGATAGTGTGAGCTCGTTGTGACATACCCTATACAGGGTGTTCCTTAAATACGTGTAGAAAATTCAGGAGCATGTTGCTGACGTCAAAATAAGAAGAAAAGTTTGTATAAATATATGTCCAAAAGTTCTTCGTTTCTGAGATACAGAGTGTCGAAGTTCAATTCTTATTTTCATTCGTATTTTTCATTGACACTATCAAATTTGATGTTGGTTTGTCTCTTTCGTTGGGGTGGCGCCACCTACATGTCTTTTGAGTCTTTTGAAAAGTCATCAACTTTTTTGTGCGTACCTGTATCACGTTTTATCGTTTTATTCCGTGGGGCTCAAGTAACAAATATCAGAAAAGGTACGCCAGTGCATTTTTTTTTCTTTCATTCAATATTCTCCTACATTCAACATTGGAATATCGACAAAAGATGATTCTTACTTCTTTGTATCTACTTTTTTGGACTCTTCTGATTCAAAAATATAACAATCAAATGAAAGATTCCCTAATCATCGACTGAGAAATCGCCAGACATTCAGAAACCTTTTTCAGCGTCTGCTCTGGATCCTTTAAAAAATCTCCATTGATGGGCAGACCGTTGACTACTATGGAACTCCAGAAATTGAAGGAGCTGTTCTTCAGGCAATCAAAGATACACAGACAAGTACGAGAAAAATTGCACAAAATCTCACGAGCCCCATGGAAATTATTCAAATGCATCGGTTATTTCAAATCTCAATGACTCAAAAAAAGTTGCTTGCAGCGAACTCAATACCTGGAACGAAAGAGTCAAACTAATATAAAATTTGATATTTCATTAAAAAATACATCTAGATACCAAATTATTAAAAAAAATAATAAAATTGAAAGCATGTTGAGAACAAGAATGAATCAGTCCACCCTATAATTGATGCAGAAACCTCCTTCCTATATACCTATATATACCACTCGAGAGTCGAGACTATGATGCTCTTTCCGACCGATGGGTACCATTTCTAGCCATGTAAACGTGTCATGCATACGTCATGCTGAAAACCACATGTTTGCTCTTACATTAAAAAGGCCCTCTCTATTGTCCTATCGGCGCAGGGGGTGGAAGCCCCTTTATTATTTGCACTGTACCGAGTGTTGAACGGTACTAATCATTTCCCCATTTCACTAAATGGTCATCAGTCGGCAATTTTACCAAATATTCTTAATGCACAACTGTTCTATTGTAGAGGAATCAACAATATGGATCCATGAAGGACCCTTGGGGTACTCTCAAGCTGTAACCAATATGTTTTCTACGCAATATATGCTGATTCATTAGCATTTGGTCTCCTTGAACCATAAAAGAATATATATTTTCTGAAGGAAAGTCATCGATTTTTTAGTTGCAGTTTGCAGTATCAAATATGATATTTTATCGACTTTAAGAACAGCTATACAATAATAAGATGAAATCAACAGAACAAACTCAAGAATGTGAAGTATAACCATGCATTACTCGTAAATAATATATGGTTGGGGTATATCTTTGTTGTTTTCTGAAGAAAAGTCAGGCACAAACTGTAGATACCTTGAGACTTCATCTCTGGACGTTTTTTTGGAATTTCTCCACAGTTCCTCTTAATCAAATACCAGTGGCTTTAGTATTGTCCTGGTACAGCGAATGATGATAATCTTGTCAGAACATTTTTTTCGCTTTGTCCTTCTAGAGGGAAATTCCTATCCTCGAACTAAATAGATAGAAGAAAACACGTCGGTGCCTGAGACTCTCAGTGCTTAAATAATAACTATTCCGCCAACTTGGATGGTCTGTCATATTGGATTTAGTATGATGTCACATTATTTCTCGAGTTACTCTCAACAAGCCCTTTTATTTGATACCCATATTGTAGAAGTGCATAAAAAATAACTGTTCCGCCATCTTGGATGGTTCGCCATTTTGGATCTAGAATA